ATATATAAACATACTAAGCAGCTATACAACGTGTCTGATTCCTTCCCAACATGCAGAAACTGCTGCTGTGTGCCCAAGGATTTACTGGCAGTGCTGCCCATGCATCTCATTGCTGGTGTCTGGGGCTCTCTCTGCTGTAGTGACTGGTGGTGACTGATGTGGTTTGCTCAAGGTACTTCAGACACTGGTCTTAGTCAAATAATGCAGCAGAAAGCAGCTAATCCAGTCACTGGATTCTGTAGCCCACATGAAATTCCAGCTTGCTGGCCCATTTAGGTTACTGCTTGCAGCTGTGTGCTGGAGCCAGCTACTTTTAAGTTGGCTTATATGAGGGATCTTTGTTTATCAGTTTCTGAGCAGAGGTATCAAAGTGTCTGGTTTAGAAACCGTCAACCTATGTCTTAATTTTTTCTGTTCAGCTTGAATGGTTTCCCAGAGTAAAATGTAAAAAGAAGATCTTGCTCTTAACTCCATCTGGAATTGCTGTTCCTCCCAGTAAAGCCAAGTGATGGTGTGTTACTCACTGTGGAGTTCCTGATTTTGCACTAGACTAAAGAGCTGCCAGTTCCTAAAGCACTGAAATTGTATCTCTGCTTGGGTACTCAGATCTTCAGCTGGGTGGAAGGACCAGCAAATACATAGACCTCTTCCAGCTTTCCCTTGCTTTCCAATACTGAGTCTATAATTCTTTCAAAAAGGGAGCCTGTCAGCAGCACCTAAGTAGTAGCCATAATGCTGCATTTGAAACCTTCTGTCTCTGGGTCTGTATCCTGATGATATGGCCTTAATTGCTTTTTGCAGTGAGTTTGGGTGTTTGTCTTTGGAAACTGTTGCTTCTTGATTAATTGATGGCCATTGAGACTGGCACTTCTCCTTCTAGTGCAGTGCTTATGATAGAAATTCTCAATGTACCTTGCTTTAACCTCCCAGACACTTTGTACTTCTTCATGGGGTTTATATCCATGTAGGAATGAATTTGCCGAGACAAATGAATGCAGTTATTGACTGAAGCAGCTGTTACCTGCTGCTATTGAACAGTTAGGAGAGGGTTAAGAAGAAAACCTCTTCTGAGCCACTAGATTGGCCCTGACTAAGATGAATGTCTAATTCACTCCCAGCGTCCTTACTGCTGCCAGTAATAAAAAGCTTGCTTCACATATTCACCCCACTGCAGACGTTTCTCTTAAATTAAATATCAAGAGGACATATAATGGCACGATTCCACGCCAAGCCAATATTATCAGATTGATGTCAGCAGTGATAATAGAAGAAGGATAAGTTGATGAGATTTCATTTATTAAATAAAGTAAAGGGAATATGCAGTGATAGAAAGGATTTGGTAACTCTCGGTGTCAAAATGCAGCAAGATCGTGCTCATTTTGTCTTACCTCAAGGGATAGTAGAGAGAAGGATGCCCTTTGTTTCATTTTAAGAAAACCTCTGCCTTCTTTTCTAGACAAAGACCTGATTTAAATCTTTCCATGGAAGGGGGAGAGGAAGTTCTGAAATCATGGATTTCATGTGTGTGCAGCCTTCCTGCCCCTTGCACAGTGACAAGGCAAAGGTTTCTTTCCTCTCTGTGTTGGGGGAGGCACTGCTAATGAATTTTATTTCTAAATCCATCTTTTACTTTTTCCAACCTGTCATCCTTTCTTCTTTCCTCCTCCTTTAAACAGATGAGTGTGTTTTATTGATTTACTCTTTCATATTCTGTATGTCCTGCATGTATTTATTTCCAAAGTATTGTCAGAACTTGTCTTCCATACTTCCATCTGCAGATATTGTGATGTAACTTTCCAGCCCAGCCTTTCTCTCCTGCCTTTTTTTCTAGGTGCTGTAAATGAGCCTCTTACACCTATTTTGATAATAGTTGTAGCAGTTGTGGCATATTTTTAGACAGAGGCCAACTGTCTACCTCATTTGGTGGTGACATATGCTTAAAACTTTGACCCACTTTAGGAGAAAGGTCAAAGCATACAAGGCTTCTGCTAGTTGTATATAAAAGCCTCATCACTTTTCCACCATTTTCCTTCTCTCTCATGAGAAATCATAGTAAAAACCCTCAATGGCATATCAGGAGCAGTGCGATCGGGTGTCCAGAAGATGAACTTTTCTAAAGATTAGTTAGTGCCAACAGCCTTGAGCTAGGCTAAGGGTGAAGGGAGATAGTTGATGAAAGTCCAGCTCCTTTGGAACTCAACCCATAATGTCATTGCATTCTACAGATGTGTTTGTAGTTGGATGGTGCTGGTTTAATTCCTTTTTGTCTCAGATATGTACGAGGGAAGTCAGACACGTGTAAGGTGCAGCTGCTGTATGTGTATAGGGCTGCAGTTCCCCCAATGTGGAAATGTTGTAACCTGAAGCTGAGTGTTAATGTGAGAGGAGAGTGGCACCCCCTTGATTCAGACTGGGCAGGCATTGTGGTTGCTGTGCAGGGAGGAAAGCATCTCAGGCAGCTGTTCACCAGAGCATTCAGGTGCCTCTTTCCAGTCCAGATGGGCACCAGAACTAATCTGCTGATTTTGGATAACTTATCTACTCCCAGATTCCACAGTAACTTGTATTGATAATCACCTAAACCAACTTTGCAATTTGCTGATTAGCATCTCTAAATCTGTTTTGAGAAGCTGGTACAATTGATGCATAACCACAGCTTGAGGTTTTATTTTGAAGAAATATAGGAGAAAAATCTTGTTATGATTTTGGGTACACAGTACCAAATAAATCCTCCCTGTGTTGTGGGAAGTGATGTGTAGGAATGCTGGTTTAAATACTTGCTGGGCAATGCATACTGGTCTGTGCTGATTGATCCCCTGCTTCTGGTAGGCTTTAGGCAACACTACCCATTTTATTTTTTTTTTGTGGCTTCTTGCTCACCACTGTGTGGCTTTTAAGTAGCCCTGTGGGCTGAGCACAAGGGGTCTGTTAAGGAAGAGGGACACAGACTTTGCAGCACTGTCTGAGCCCAGAGGCCAGTCCTAACTTTATAATTATTCTAGGCAGTGAAGACTGATACCATAGGAAGGACAGTGATCTAAAGCAAAATAATTCCTGTAGCTGTCCCTGCTGACAATGACAACCTCTAAATATTTCTAAGATGTTGTTCAGTTCAGATGAATACAAACTGGTTTGTGGTATGCTGTACCTTTTAGCTCTTCCGGGTTTCTATACGAAAATTACAAAATGCCCTTCAGTTTAACATCACTGAGTTTAAAAAAAAACTAATTTTAAAAGTCTTAACTTTTTCAATGAATTGAGGGATTTGGTGGTATTTCCTGACCTGGTATTGTTTGGTATCATTTCCACAGTCTCACTGATTTGATTAGAGTGATATTAAAGTTAGTGACAAAGCAAAATGCCAACATTATGAGTTTCTGAAGCTCTCTCTGGGTTCTTTTCTATCCCAAAATTTGAAGATTTTTTTTTTCTGGAATATGGATTTTCCAGGCTTTAAAGGTGATTTGCTATATAACATAGAAATTAAAAATGAACACTAGCCCTTAGGGACTGAGCATGGAATAAGTTTCTTCTAAAAGCTGTGAGATTAGTGAAGAGGTAGAAAAAGAAGTCTGTATAGTATCTTTGTTGGATTCTGATCAAATCTCAGTGTTTTAGTGTGGCTGCCATACTGGTAAATTCCTACTCTGTCCATGGATGTTGGCAGTAGGACTGAGGACTGAATATCAATCAGTATATCTGAACCAAATTATTGTGAGAGTGCACCCAGGTTGCTGATATGGAAAAGACAAAATCGTTCTTCTTTTGGTCCTTCCACTTCTTTCCTGAGCACCTTACACAGATGTGCATGATTTGGAAACTCATATCTGAGCTCTCCAAAAGTGTCTAGATCTTGGTTTAAGATTTCCTGTTTCTTAGAAATCTGTTCCACCTGAGAGACTGTGACATGCCCAGGGACAGGTCATGTTTTCCCTCTCTCTGCCTTGCCATGAAGCCCTTTTGCTGAATGAGTGCCTGTTGTTACTGTGGAGATGAAAACATCATAGCATGGCATTAATATCTGCCTGCAGCATCAAGTGCTTTGGAAGGAAGAGGTGTGTTTGATATTTGGGTACAGATCTCTAAGCATATTGGAGCAGGAAATGCAAGGAATTAAATGGATTTATGGTTTAGGAGACGACATCTGAGGATTGCTACACCTAAGCATATGTTCTCTTACTCTCTGGTAAAGCATACCATGGCCACGGTGCTGTGAATGCCTGCAATTTGTGTCTGCCTGTCTGTGCAGATGATGTCACTGTCATTACTGTGTTCGTGCCATTGTTGCTGGGATTGTTTTACAACGACCTTCCCCTTTATTGGTACTGTTGCTGATGATGTGCCATATGTACACATGCACATTAGAGTAAAGGAACATCATCCTTAATTGTTCCTGGGTAGCTGTCAATGCCATTTACTGAGTATGAATACTAATTTCTGCAGAAATACAAAGAAGCAGATATCTGGTCTTGCTGGTTTTTTGGGTTTTTTTTTTTTTTTCTAGTCACTAGGAGAATTGCAGTGCTTCCAACCATGCTGGATTTCTTGGAGTCTTTAAATAGATGAGAATTCAATAGATCGAGGTGGCTTATTCAACAAGTCTGTTCAGTTCCTTGTCAGACTGTTACAGATCTAGTAGAATCCAGGCCCAGCCAGGATTCTTGAGTTCTGCCAAAGATTTCCAGTGTGAGTTGAGAAAATCATTGAAACTCTTGGACTTGGGGATTTTTTTTCCTCCTGACTGCGAAGTGATGATGTTTTATATAACAGCCTTCTACACCAGCTAAGAAAGATCATGTTCCTTCTTTTGCTAAGTACCCTGGATTTTTCAATTGAAAGACACTGGTGGTCATTTGACCCATTTTTGTGATTGCTGCTGCCACCAGTTTCTCTATTAGGACTACATGACTCTGGCATAAAATTAGTATGTGTGTTGCTGGAAAAGTGGTAGTAAGTGGTTGAAAACTCCTCACATCATTCTGTGCTTGTTTTCCCTGCAGGAGGAGGAATGCTGATCCTATCTGTGCAAACTTGCAGTCTGAAATTCTGAAGTGCTACCAAGAAAACAAACGTGAAGTGCTCAAATGCTCGGAGCTGGCAAAGGAATATCAGCGCTGTGTTAGTGCAGCTCGGAAGGTAACAAAAGCTTCTCTGTTGTACTGGCTGGATTTGCTGTCTTGTTTTGCATGTTGCTTTCTTCTGAGAAGTGTTTTTGAGAGCTGTGGTATCTGTTAGTCAAATTGCAATCTTCATAGGAGACAAATCTTCCTTGGGATCCATTTTCCCACATTCATTCCACATTTCCCAGTCGCAGAGTGTATCCCAACTTCATTCCTGTCAGCAAGTCCTGTTGTACCAAGCTGCCACCACAACAGTAGAACCAGTGCTCCCAGGTTTCCAAGTCAGTCAATGATTTTCCCTAGTCTTACCTTCGTGGATGTTGTATACTGCAAATTTACTGTAAGTAAATCCACCTTGGCAATGTCTGCAACATTTTCAACAGGCTCTAAACATCTCCTGTTGTGGGACTTTGCAGTTGGATGTCTTGCTTCTTTTCATTGCTGCATGGGGAAAGATTTTATGCTGGGTAAAGCTGCTATCTGTTCAGAAAATTCCATACTCCTAAAAACTCTTCATCTTGTGTGGGAGGCCAGGAAGCCTTATGGCTCTTCCTTCTGAGATGCAGAGTCCCAGTAGATTCTGTTGATGCCTTAGGACAGTGGCTGCTCAGTACCTTGGAAGAATTTCTGGCTATTGAAACAAGTGAAGGGGAAAAGAAAATGAAGTATTTGGACATTACAACTAGGGTATGGTCCTGAGCCATGAGAGAATTCAGTTGGTCAGGTGTCCCTCAAGGGCAGATTTTTCTGGTTTGTTTTTTGGGTTTTTTTGAGAGTAGAAAATTCTCCAAAGGTGCTGAGAATACAGTAAAGTGCATGTAGGGAAAAGGATGGTAATAGAAAATTGAGACTTCTCTCATGGGGTTATTAAAGCAAAAGGTGGGGGAGAGGTGGATATTTTATAGAAGCAGTCTTTCTCTGCATTAGCATTGTGAGGGGAAGCTGTATGCCTGATTTAAGTATAACGTGAAACAAGCTGCCAGCCGGCTCCCAGAAGAAGCCCGACAGAAGGAGATGGGAAAATTGTCAGGATATATTAGACCAAATGTTGTTGCTACTCCTAGTGGAATTTTTTTCCTTCCTGTTTACAAAGAAGGTCTTTGTATGTCTGCAAATCAGCAAGGTTAAAGCTGCCAGGGAAAGGGCTTTTCTCTGGTATCTCTAAAGTCCCCAGCTCCCAAAACATGTGGTTTCTTTTTCTTCCTCTGCTTTAAAGTAAAGTGGTGCCTGTGCTGCTGCTGCACAATCCGTGCCCCTGGTTGCTGTGTGCAGAGCATTGGTGCATATATTGCCAGCCTCTGTTATTCTCCTTGCCTCCTCTAAATCAGGCTTGTAGCCTTTTCAGTGGAGTATATCTTTAGCAAATGCATTTACCAATACATCTTTATTGCATGCAGTGCAGGCGGAATGTGATTACCAAAGAAGACAGATTGCATTAAACTTCAGCATATTTGCAAGCTGCGGCTCCAACCCGCCTGAGAAAGGGGCTGGGATGCTGCCAGCCCTGAGCCCCAGCCCAACATTATTAAAGAGTAAATTGGAAGCTAAATGACTGGTAACAGCAGAGGGCAGTGAAAGATCCTAATAAATTGGATCTTTTTTGGATTTGGTGGAGGTTTTGGTAGGTTTTCTTTATAAACCAGACACTGGGGGTTGTCTGGTTGTCTTCATTCCCAGAATCTTCAATGAACTTCAGAATATTTTTTCCCACTATTATTATAAACTACCTGGAAGGAGAAGTGCGTAGGGCATTATTTTGTTGTGGATGATTACAATGTGGCAGAAAATCTTGCTATGTTTTAAGAAGGGGCTTGAGAGACTAAGGAATAGGTAACTAACACCTTGCAGCTAGAGGTAGGCATTAGAGGGTTCTGCAAGTAGAAATTCAAATACAACTTTTGTAAGGCAATGTGTCTTCTGTAGTTTCCTTTTGTCCCAGGATGGTTCAATTCCCTGACAACTTGCCTCACTGCTCTTACTGACTCTTCTGACTCCTGAGATGCATGTAGCAATCACAAGCTGTTGTTTTATCATGTAGGATTAAAACTCCCTCCTCCCTTCCCCTTTTTAAGCTGTTATTTTTCTTTAAGTTTAAATTAGCATCTTATACCAAATGGCTTTGTCTCACGCATTCCTCTTTCAGGAAATTCAGGTTGGAGTAATGTGGGAAAGAAAGGCCAGAATCTCTTAATTTCTTTGGTATTTTTTACCTTTTTATTTTTTTAAAACACTATTTGTTTTCCAGTGCAGGAGGAAATGTAATCAAAGTTGGATGTGTGACTTCATCTCACTTGCATGGTGGTGATTTGTTCGCTTGCTTTTTACTAAGGATTTTATAAGGCTTGCTGAATATTCTTTAATGAAGCATCTGCTTCTCTGCAAGTTCCTTTTGATGGCTGGTAAAAATGTCTGCAGGGCATGGTATACATTAGGCTCAGAGAAAGCCAGCTCTAGATTTCTAGACTGAAAATTACAGCTTACAGTGGATGAGAATAATTCTTTGCCTCTTCCCCCTTACTGTGTTTGTTTGAGACCGTTCCTTTGGACACCCATTTCCCTTTGCCTGTTGTTGTGCACATTTCTGAGCTGAGATACACCCTCAGTTGTTTCTGTCCCATAAACAAATATGTTGGATAATCATTTGATGAGTTTTAAAATTGATTTTCTATTGGTTTTCTGTACAGCTCCTCTTCCTAGGAGAGGTTACTTTATTGTGGGGCATGGTAGAGATATAGCTGTTTTGTATATTTTCTGGCTATTGGGCCATCTCTTGTAGTCAACAGAGAGAAATAGGCACATGTAGAGTGTGATGCATCTGATTTTAAAGAGTCATCTGAAACAGGCCAGCCAGAGATGAGTATTTCCCTCTGCCTCTTGGGAGGTACCTCCAGAGCATAGACTACAAAGTTGGTGCCTGTTCTGGTATGCTCATGGTTATGGGAGTAGGATCCTGTTCTGGTTGGCCACCTTTGTGACCAGGATGCTTTCAACTTGGCCTGCCTAACTTGCTCATGAGCTTTTCCATATATACCATCCCGAATGTTGAGTTTTGGGCGCGTCACCGTTGACTCAGTGCAGCATCACTGCACCGAGCATTGACTCATCAGCCCCTTTAGGCACTGGGGTCCTTGCTGCATCCCATGCTTTGCTTAAGTGGAAGTTCTCTGGCTTTAGAGGATGCTACTGTGATAGCTCCTGTTTAATTTAGGAGTGTTTTATATTTTCTGGTGGTCTGTTTCCATGGCTCTGCAGAACTTGAGCTACAGCATAAAAATCGCTGGCTTTAAATCTAATAAAAGCTGGGATAATGGGACAGCTGTAGGAGGGGCAGTTCCCATTGTGTCTTTCAAAATTGCCTGTAGTTTATTGACCGCAAGTTTCACCAAGAACCACTGCTGCCGTTAGATAATGAGAATTGAAAATTGCTGCTGCTGTTTCCCCAAGGTTTTATCTTGTGCCAGTGAGAAAGGGGGTGTGGAAGGAAAAAGAGTGTGGGCAATGGAAATCTGCGTAATTTCTTAGTTTGGGTCCAGATGGAAGGGGAAAACAAATGATTTTGTTTTAAAAAGTCTGAGTCCTATTAGTTAATTGCTTCCCTCCCCTGTGCAAATATGCACTCACATGCAAGTTTTTCAAAGTGTTTGTGACCCATTCTGCTGCCCTTGCATTCTGTTCACACCAATAGACAAATGTGAGTTGAAGGCAAATTTTAGTTGGTTACTTTGTTACGTAATTGGTGGCTATACCAGGGAATCTCCAGCCAGCTGCCACTTGGAAAATGAGGCCTCTGGTGACCATATATTAATGTGATTTGAGATTTCAAACAGAACCCGCTTCCTGCAACTGTTGCAGAAAAATGTCTGTTATTGAAGAGCACGTATTCCTCCTTTTCAGGGGTTTCCTTACTGTCTCTTGGTGCCTGTCTTCCACAGAAGGACCAAGGTGAAATTTTTGTGCACTAGCTTCTGGCCAAGCCAAGCTATCAGGAACCGTGTACTCAGACATGTGTTTTCCCTTGTCAATAGGAGCTGTATATATTGAGCTAGGAGCCATTCATAATCCTGCACTCTTCCTCCCTCTTCTGTGTCCAACTTCTCACAAATCTGCTATTCATAACAGACAGAGGTAAACATACTTCTGTCAAGGCTTTAGGGCTTGTCTATGTAAGGAAATTATGATGCAATAAACCGGTGAGTTTCTCTAACACATGTTTACTGTGAGTTACTCTGCTGTGTGCAAACAAGCCCTTGCTAAATACTGATTGCCTGAATTCCAGTGAAGGGAGACTTTTAACATAACCCTGAGTTGTCTATATTCTGCTTTGCCCTTGACTATAATAAAAAGGAATATGGTCAATTTATTGTGTTTACATTTCCAAGTGATCTCTGTGAAAGCCCAGTTCCCTTCTGGCATGCAAAGCAAAGCATTACACTTCTGCTGGAAGTTTGTCTCTAATCTGTGGGCAGGGACTTAGATTGCTGAGAGGATGCTGCAGGTATTTCTGCAGTTCCCATCCTGTTGGAGCAGTTTTGCTCAAGCATTCTTGATCCTGCTGGGAGCTTTAATTTCTGCAAGTTGGATCTCTCTCTGCTTAAGAGAAACAGAGTTGGATGCCACAGGCTGCACTGCAGGTATCTGATCATGCAGGATCATCAGGCTTTTGCTAACGTGTTGTTTCCATTCTGGTGGATTTCAGAGTACTTTATAGACAGGCTGTGTACTTATTGGGATAGAGAGGAGCAGTCAGTGTGTGTGGCTGGTGAAAGAAAGTTTGGACCAGGTGTAGCAATGTCTGTATCTGTACTCTAGAAATGCCAGGCTTTCTCCTGCCCCTGGGATTCTGCAGAGGTAGATCTTGGCTGTTGAAGCCTCATTGAAGAGATCTATCGCATGGTATGCTGCTTGAAATACAGTATATCTAACTTGAAAGGCTTTAGGGTTGTTTGAGCTTTCTGGAATTCAGGTTTGTATTTTCAGATAAATCTGTGTGTTTCCTGTCTGGAGGATGCTGTGCCC